ATTTTAATCCCAATGGTATGCAGATGTGGTGATGTGAAACAATTAGAAGCCATTGGATATGACCTAGGCAGCTGCATATGTGATATCTAGTTAGTTAAATGAAGCAACTGCATCGATTATTTGGAAGATTGAAGCTTTCGACTACTATGTTTTCATGGAAGAGACATTTCTAAATGTGTATATGCCAATCATCACTTATTCACTTGGGAGCCGCAACGGTGTAGCAGCCTCCCGGTCCAAGGTCTTCAGTTCTATTCTCCACAGACTCTGATTTTATTTTATTCTCTTCAAAATCATCTTTGGCTTCCACGTCAACCCAGCCTAAAATGGGTACCAAGAAATTACCTGGGAGATAAAGGCAGCTGATTTGACGCTGATCACATTAGCCATCGAGTACAAGTTGGTCTTTAAAAATATGAGTTTTGCATTATATGCCCGATGCGCCAGTGGCGTAAAAGGGGGTTGTTTACTAACTTACCTACTGGTAATTATTGTATTCCAAGCTAAATGACTAGTAGGAGTAATTTGCTACAGAATAAGTCAAAACAACTTCGGTGGCAATACACTTGCCTTCTATCAGCACTAATCACCAGCACTGCCCGGCTCTCTAGCGTAGTTGGCTAAACTGGATTGCGTGGAGACCGGGTGACGAACTCCTTGTGGTCCGGGTTCAATTCCGGGGGTAGGCAGGAAAGCCACATTTCTCCCAGATTTACGCATTTACAATGGAATCAAGGCCAAAAGGTTGCGATATCCATAAAACCGAGCCTTAGGGTTAACAACACATGGTTTCTGGAAACTAAAACAAACAAACAAACATCACCAGCACTGGCCAAAAAAAACGAAATGTTTCTAAATGAAAATGGAAACCACAAGATTAATGTTCCAATAATAATGGTATGGTGGAAGGAATGACATGGTGGGAAAACTTCTCAACAATGTTTGCAGTGATTAATTCTAACACTGATATAAACATCATACAAGTATATGGCAAACTGATTCTGGCATCTTTCCAGATGACAGAGTTATATTCTGCCTATAGGGAGCCATGAGAATCACAGAACATGGCGACAGCAAGTGTGACTAGCAAGACCTGCTTGAGTTAAGAAAAGTCTTCCACAATTATGATTTCAGGTACACTGTCGCCATTCTTCTTTTTCTGTTGTCGTTTCAATGATACCAGATTGTAGCCTAATGACGGGTGTTCTGTATTTGTCTTGTGCTTCTCGAGGACTTAGTTGATGGATTTGTTAATCTTTTTTTGTTGCAGGTTTCTGCTACATTATTTATCCATCTCTCGCATTGCATGTACTTCTCAGATTCTCAGCTCTCAACCTATTTGCAATAATTTTCTCCTTGTTCCTATTCCTTTCTGAACCCCCCCTCTATGCAACAAGGTCCATGGCATTCTGTTCCCACAAATCTACCTCAATACCTGCATCATTCATGCCCTACCTGCATGTATATTTATGACAAGTTTGAATATATCAGGGAAGTGTTCATATAAATGTTCAGTTGGATTAAATGCTTGATTAGTTCTCCTGCATTTGATCACCAATGATTAAACTAATGACAGTTACATGTCAACACTTAGAGAGAAAATTTACTTTAAAAAGTTAATTAAAGGTTAACTCTTGATGGTTAGCTAAGCATAAATTTTCATTGAAAACATTCATGACTGACCGTTAGCTACAAATTCAATCTCAATGAACCATAAACTCTTAGTTGTTAGATACACACAAATTCTTTAAATATCATTAAAATTAACCCTTGATGGATAACAACACATCACATCTTATCAATAATATTCAACAAATTAAACAAAAAGCAACTCTTGATGATGTCTAAATAAAAATTAACCCTCATAAAGATACTCACAAACTTGTGAAATTACTTGATTAGAAATTTTGTTTTTCTGGAATCAAATGGAATGAAAATGGCAACTCTACTACAGTGCACTCACTTTTCCTGTTGCATCATTATTCTTATCATAATCTAAAATAAGAAATCTACAATCCAGCAATTCTCCAAACACAGTAAGTGAACTGCAAATCCAACTTCACGACTGTTGCTACGTTCCTATGCCAGCGGAAAACTACACAGAATCCCATCACTGTTTCCTGTGAAAGGAATTGAAGCAGACCGCAGTTTCTGCAAAGCCAATAGCATACACATCCATTAAATGTATGAGGCAGCCTTAAGAAGTGCCAACAGGAACAGTCCACTAGAACTGCACTTCATCATCAATGGAAGCAGTAGTTAGAAACAAATCTGCAGTTGTACATGCAATTTATTGCATAAGCCACTACCAGTTCTGTGGCAACAGGTCATTCATCATTTTCTGAATTTGCAGTTCACAACACAAGCCACATATGGGGACCACTAGTTGCTATTATTCTTCTTGTTCTGTTGTGGTCTCACTGATACCAGGTTGTAGCCCAGTGTCATGGTTTCTGTATTTGTCTTGTGCTTTTCAGGTGTTTGGGTGATGGATTTGTTAATCTTTCTTTTTTTTTTATCCACTTCTCGCATGGCATGTGCTTCTCAGACTCTCAGCTCTCAACATATTTGCAATAATTTTCTCCTTTGTTCCTATTGGAAAAGCTGTCTGAGACATAAATATTTTAGAACAGAAAAATGTATAGAAAAACAAAGTAATGTATTGAGTTGTTTGATATAGAATGAGTTGAATAATCAAACACTGGGATTTTAAGAGACATTCCCAATTATCACAGAAGAATGATCAGGCAAAATCAATGTAATAACTACATTCAGTGTAAGAAGTACAGATAGCAAGCCAGAAACAACATGAGGTAAAAAGTAAAATAATAAAGGATAAATGTAAACTGTGTCAAAATAAATAAACACAATTTCTGCTACAGACAATTTTAGCACAATCGGAGATTACAGTTTTATGAGGGAGGGTGGGATTCGGAGAAGGTAGTAATTTTTAAATATTATAACTAACAAAGTAGAAAGAACAATACAGACTACAAACTTTGAAGACAGTCTGAAAATCCTCTATCTGACACAGAATGGGAGTGTATCTTAACCTTTTTAAAAGTGAGTATTCAGCATTTTATATATATATATATATATATATATATATATATATATATATATATATATATATATATATATATATATATATATATATATATATATATATATATTATATATATATATATTATATACATCCACACTGCACTAAAATAACAGCAGTCTGTGTTTGTACAGTTTATAATGTAAGAATAATGCAACAGACTGCAATGATTTCATTTAAAATGCCCTAAAATAGCAGTTGATGCAAATAATTAGCCACATCTGGATGTGTGTGTGTATATAACTAAATGGTTATTGAGAGAAAATCTGTAAAAACTTTTTGTCAAGAAATATTCTAGTTTCCAAATTATGTTCTGGGCACAAACTTGCTCGATGCTACAGTAATTTTAGCACAAGTTATAACTTATAACTGTATATTTGTTGTACATAAAACATAAAATACTATTTGACAAAAACAATTATATGCTATCAACTGTGACATACTTTGCAAAAAAACAGTTACATCAATCATCATAAATGCTTTAAAAAAAAACACCTGATACAGACAATAAACCAAAATGGTTAAAAATGATGAATGTATAAATGTAATATATAACCTGTTAATAAATGTTTAAATGAAGGCACAATATATATGTTACTAGTTAGACTTGGTTCTACAGACATTTATTTTACTATTTTAAAAAATGTAAGATAATTTTTACATGTTTAAAACATACAATATTTAAAGTGCTTCTTTAAATAGTCACAGACCGGTGGCTAGATAAGGCAAAAAGGGCAGTTAAGGGAGACAAAAAACTATATGTTCCATGACAAATGTCTTTCTAAAATATAGGCGTTAGGCATGAAAGTACAGACATGTGAAACATAATTTACAAACAAAAACTGAGTAGCAACTACAACTATCTTCATATGTGGCAGATATTTTTCTCAATGTTAATGTTGAATATCTGACAGATATAATGCTGCTATAATTCACACAATTAACATTTAACCCTACCAGACCTGAGGCCCTGAACTAACTTCCCCCTATACCCTATTACAATTATCCAGTTTCGTCCTTTTTAGGACGAAATTTTTTGTTATTTGAAGCCCCACCCTGGCGTTTTGCAAGGGATCGCAATATAGGTAGGCCATAAATATGGCCAATTGTCTGAACGCGGTTTCTGGGACCTCTCCAAGGGTGATCCTCATCTACATGGTGGCACTTTGTGTCACCAGCTGCGTATCACTCTGTGTGATGATCTAGTGGGGGAAAATTTACTTACTTACACGATTGATAGAAAGCTTGAACTTCATCCCAGTATGGGGTGTAAATTTGTTTATTTTAAAACCCCACCGTAACTGTTGTCAGGGGCCCTAATTTTAACCTAATGGCTGAATGGGGTTTCTGGGACTTGTACCCAGGCAATTATCACCTGAATGGTGGCACTTTGTGTCATAAGGTGTTTAATCACTCTTTGTGCAGTCCTGGGTTGTATGCTATGAATGTGATCAAATCAAATACTGTTAAATATTATCTATGATTCACTGACCAAATAAAATTCAAACATTAACTTTCGTTTATGTATAATGGGGTTTGCATTCTTATATTTTAGTTACTTTAAGCTTACTTGCATTTTACCTTTATCAGTTTATTGATAAATGATATTTTTAATACTTTGCTAACTTCTAACATTACTTAAAACATAAAACATTTCAATCAAAGATGAATAAAGAATAAAATGATTATGTTCAACAGTATACAACAATATAACTTATATAAATATATCTGGAGTTGCTGTGTGCCCATTTTTTGTGTAGAAACATAATAAAATCACATTTCAAATACACACTGAAGGTGAAACAATGACTGAGTAAAGAATGGACTTGCATGTCATGGCTGGAAAGACTATCAGCAAGTCTTCCATTACAGTGTAACTTTAAGATTCCATCTGCACTCAAATTTTCTGGACATAATTAGCTGGGAAGACACCTTCTCTGCCTCGCAGTTTACCTTTCCACCAACCAGATGCATCTGAAACAGAGACAAAGTCACGTGACAAATATTATATGTTTTTGTGTGTGTTTTACAACATGACAATCCCAATCAGCACAACCAAACATCTCATAAAGCATATCCAACATCATGATACCAGTGCCAGATGTGGTCACCCACAACAAACCAGAAAAAATAGTAACCATGGAAATTATATTCTGACAAGGTCTGCAGAGTGATCAGAAGAGATACAAATCAGGAATGAGGTCACAAAAAGAAAAATTCTGCCCAAAAAAAACCAATTCTAAATTACAAACATAGCAAATCAAATGGTTTTCCCCACTAAGAGAGAATGTTTTGTGGTATTATAACCATACAAAGCATACACCAAAAGAATAACAGGATGAAGATCATTAAAAAAAGACCAAGAAAAAGATGGAAAGATAACATCAGAGAAACTCTGCAACAGCACAATGTGTTGACGGTCAAGGTGGCCAAAAGAGCAAGAAAAGCCACACCCAATATAGTAAAACAGGAAGTGAAGAAGAAGAGGCAGATTTTGCTTGATCATTAAAATAAAACAACACCAGTTCACATGATCTTATTGTACATCACTAGTGGCAGCAGGTGGGTCTAGAAGTGAAGCTCTGACAGCACTGATCTGGCAGCTTCTGCAGCATGCTTCGTTTCCAACATATGTGTTACCTTTCCTCTGGCAGACTGAGCGAGGAATCATGCTGCTTGAGGAACCCATGGTCTCTATAATACTGACCAGGACTGTGATTGCCATGCACCTCTATAACACAATACAACACTACTGTCTGGAAAGATGGAAAAAAGTGCTGATATATCAATCTTTGAAGTGGCTGGATGAAACAAAACAGAAAAGTAGAATTTTACAGAAGCCTGGAAGCACTGAAATGATTGTGCCGCTCAAAGAAAGAATGTCACCGTGTGGGTTCCAGGATCTCGTTTTGGGGGAAAATAAAGAATAGACTCCCTGCACCCCCTAACAAGCACGTCGTTTAAAAAACACCCATAAATTAAGGGTTTGAAATTGGATGATGTGTTAAGGCCGAATGGTGTGGATATTGCATCCTAGCTGTAAATCATAACAAAGAGTACCAACTGCCCTCTCAGGGGCTAAAGCAGAACAAGAACAGAAAAAGCAGGCTAGCAACTGCATTACTGTAGCTCAGTTTTGGGGAATGAATACTTGTTTAAAACATGGCTATCAGTCTTATCAAAACACACAAGTAACAAAGCAAGCCCAAAGTATTAACTTTATTTACTCTTCTTCTCCTTCTTAGTCTTCACCTGCTGTAAACTTCGGCTGAAAGATTTGGTTTTTCATCCACTTCTGGACTTGTTCCAGAACTTACGTTTTGCATGCATATCCGCAGACTGAAGATTCCTTCCTCCTCAGGCAGATGCACTCTGACTCTTGGTTTTACATATAACTGCTCGTATTGACAGTTATAAGAATAATGATGGCAATATACTGGGTACCTCATGAGGAGAAATGAACAGAGAATCACCAAAGAAGAAAACAAATGTACTGGTGGAAAGGTGGATGTCCTAGAAAAACCATAATATAAATGTTGTTGAGAGAGGCCAAGGGGTGCTGAACAGGATTCTATCTATCAGACAGAAATGATTTCACAGGATACAATACAATGGTGAATTAGACTGTGAGCCTTATGTCACATATAATGGTACAACAGGGTTTTATATTTATATATTCGGGATTCACCCAGCCTATAGGAAATGGGTACCAGAGTTGACACTCTGGGGTAAATGGAGGAACCTCGCTGTAGCTACAGAGTTACGTGCGAACGGCGACCCAGGCGGACAGTTTCTTATCAGCTGCCCAAACTGGTGGCAGAGCACTTATGGTTTAAAACCGTGTGAAATGATGCTGGTTCACATCTCCTGATTTTACCTTTCTTTTAAAATATTTATATCACAACGAAGACTGGTTGCAGTGGATCTCCAACACTGCCTCTAATCCTGAGACTGGGGTTCTTCTATGACTTGATCTTAATCTCCCCCTTGTATTTTCAGCCACTTTTTGTCATTTGCCTTAAACTTTTCCCTCTGGTATGGTTTATATGTCGGCGCCTGTGGCTTAGGTGCTGCGAACTGGCTTCATAATGCCGTGGTGTTGAGTTCAATCTCAGGTGCAGGTGATTAAGTAACAGACCGTCTTGCGCTGGGTTCCACAGTGATAGAAAGAGTCGACCGTTCAGACAGAAATGGCAAACTACTAAATGTAAATTTGCCTAGAAAAACCAGAACAGCTAAAAAACCGCCGGCGTTGGTTCTGCAATGTTGTGTCTAAAGGATATGCATCTAACTTATGGTTTATACACAACTGGCAAGATTGATGGAAAGAGAGATAGACAATGAGATAAATAACTGAATGGCATGGTCAGATGGACGTAGTAAGACAAAGAAAAATCAAAGGAATCTCTGATTTCGGTGATCGTGTAAGGTGGCAAATCATGACAGCCTAAGCTTCCCAGCATGGCTCATGATGATAATGGTTTCTATGAGAATGCTATGCCTTTCAGTGTGGCTGAAATATTTTGCTCATCCCTTTTTCTAATTTGTTAAGCACCACTCTGTAGAACATATCCTTGATTTGCATGAACAAATTGTTTGAAAAAAAAAAAATATTTGTGTACGTCATGCTGTATTGTTAGTGGATTGTAAGTGAAACTGTATAGTCTTTTTTTTTTTCCTTGGCTTCCAGGTAGATACACCTTAAAATCAGTGCCAGCAAATGTCATAGGAAGTAAAAGGAGGGCGGCAACTCCATGACAAAATTATTCATTCGTTTGCCCCAAGCTCTGACCACAGTTTCATTTTCAGACTGCTTCACTCGATTTATATTGTCATCAGTCCCATCCTATTTTACTGTTATATACACCACAAGCTCTGTGGCTAAGTCGATACGAACATTTCGCTTCGTAATGCCGGGATGCCGGGTTCGATTCCAGCTGCGGGCAATGCGCTTTGCGTTGGTTTCGAGTGGTATCAAGAAAGCCGACCGTCCAGAAAGCAATGGCAAACTACTGGACGTAAATTTGCCTAGAGAAACCACACAACAGCCAGGGGCTGTTAGGGTTGGTTCTGCAACGTCCCGTAAAGGATACACAACTAACCTGTATACACCACAAAAGGTTCAGTTTATTCTTCCATTCCATTCTATCCTATGCAATTAATTTTTTGAATGAATGTTGAATGTTGAATTAAGAATTGACATCACAGCACTCGGGACACCCCTATAAGTGCTCCCCCTCCATCTTCAGCAGCAAACGAAATGTTGCAATTCCGATGGCACCAGTAACTCTGATTAGATATGCGTCTTGCCCTTCCCCTGAGTGTTGAGCATCTGCCAGATCCCCTGGTAACTCCTTGCATTGCCAGTCTCCTCAGACTGTGCCTTGCACTATATACATATATTATATGTGTTCCATATGTTTTGATATATTCAGCAAGTTTGGCATCTCTGACATCATCATCATGATGTGCCCTGCCAACTGGCATAGGCACTCATGCGTCTCCACAGATCACAGTCCCTGGTTGCCTGGAACAGCTCTCTAAATGATATCCCTCCATGCGATCATTTCAGCCCATCTAGCATCATCTCTCTTCATCTGCCTCTCCCCCCTTTTCCACTGATTTTTCCAGTTGTTACGATATTCGCCAATGTCTCTCTTCTCATTATGTGGCCAAAGAACAGTGTTTGTCTCTTTCTTATTGTTGTGTATAAAGATCTTCTTTCATTAGCTTCTTTCAAGCAATTGTTGTTAGTTACTCTGGCCGTCCAAGCCATTCTTCTCTGACAGTTAACAAATACTTTTTTTTTTCAGCACTGTGTGGGTCACTTTGTGTAGGCACAGTGCACAGAATCATACAAAACCTGGACAATGAAGTCAACACCCTAACAATTACATCTACATAAAAATGACTCGATACATGCAGATACAATACCTTCACTAAGTAAATTAATCACATCTCCCTCATTGAAGCTAAGCTCATCCGTGTCCTGCGCATCATATGCATACAGACATCTACACTGAGGTAACTGAACTGATGGCTTTGGTTTAGCTGTTGGTCTTGGGCGCCCTCCTCCAGGGGCTGGTTTTAACAGACTTTGTCGCTGGGCACTATACAGACAGGTATGAAATCAATCAGATTCAGACATAAACAATACATTGTATAATTGATTGCCTGGCATATTTCTGTGCTTACTACAGAGTTATATCAATATATGAAATGCAAAAATAAACAATTTCCAGTGAAATACACAAATCCCAATGATTCTAGTTACAGCGTACATGCAAGATCTGACATGTAATTACCAAAGCAATTTTAAATTTACCACATGCATTTTTTGGTTTGCTTTGTGCATAACCCAGTGTACAGCACTACCGAGGTTTCCTAAATAAAAGGCTAATAAGATCATATTATAATGGCTTTATCGTGCCTCCCGAGTGGGCATAGGCAATCATGCGTCTCCACTAAGGCATGTAACAGTTCATGTGTTGACACCCCTCCTTTTCATGGCTGTCAAGAATCCTCTTCCCCCACATAACTTGCCAGTGGTTACAACATGTTTCAGTGTCCTTCTTCTCATTTTATGACCAAAAAATAATGAACATCTCTTTTTTGATGTTTGTGATAAGTTCACTTCAGGCCCTTGTCTTTAAAAAAAAAATCTGGCTTGATCTTTTAGCTGTCCTAGGAATACTAAAGATTCGTCTGTAAACCACATCTCCGAGGCTTCAAACACTTTTGGTCTTGTTTATTAATTGTCCATGATTCACAGCCAGTTAAAACTGGCTCTGTCGCTTGTCAGATTTCTTTTTTTTTTCTAACCATCAGTGACATGGATTTATTGCAAACAATTCTTCAAATGCAGTTTTATTCTGTCCTATTCTGGTTTTTTTTTTATCTATGTGATACATCTACTGTTGGATCTTATCCATGTGTTTAAGAAATTATTGTATGTACTTCTAAAATAATGCCTCTGACTTTTCTTATACATTCAGGCTTATAATAAAATAAAGATTCATTTTAGTTATCTAGTGTAATATCTGATCTGAAAGTCATTACAAGAGTCTCCAACATAATTCTTTTAGCCATGTTGCATGGAGTGGGAAAATCAAAAAGAGAATAATGTTAAATGGAAAAAAATTGATTGCATGCTGATTCAGACAATGATCTCACGATGGCAAAAAAGGTCCTGAAATCTCATGCTACAACTTGGAAGACATTTCTTAACATGAACAGATTTTGCTAGTCACGCTCGTCATGGGCTGTGATTCCCAATCCTCCCTATAGGGGAAAAATAGACCCCACAGTCCCCTAACAAACAGGTTGTAAAAGATTACTAATCCTCTGAAGTTAGAGTGCATCTGCCTCAGGGCCAAGGAACCAACAGTCAGCATACAATTTATCCAGATCTGTCAAATTTATCATCATCATCATGTGCCCTGCCAACTGGCATAGGCGCTCATGCGTCTCCACTCCACAGATCATCACTGGTTGCCTGGAACAGCTCTCTTGATGATATCCCCCCATGCCATCGTTTCAGCCTACCCTGCATCTTCTCTCCTGTCAGTGACAGGACTGGTTGCCTGGAACAGCTCTCTTGATGATATCCCCCCATGCCATCGTTTCAGCCTACCCTGCATCTTCTCTCCTGGTCTGCCCCTCCCCCTTTTCCACTGATTTTTCCAGCTGTCACGATGTTCTCCACTGTCTCTCTTCTCATTATGTGGCCAAAGAACAGTGTTTGTCTCTTTCTTATTGTTTTTTATAGAGATTTACTTTCATTAGCTTCTATCAAGCAATCGTTGTTAGTTACTCTGGCCTTCCAAGGTATTCGTAACATTCGTCTCATAAACCACATCTCTGTTGTAAAATGAATGTGAATGCAAAGCTCAAACTCTGGAACAAGACCAAAGTTCAGAAGTGGACAAACAACCAGAACATTCTGCCATAGTTTACAGTTTTCCGTTAAACATTCTTTACAGCAGATGGTGTTACTTTTTACTAAACATGGTATTTAAACAAATGTATGCACTATTTCCACAATGAAGGGGGGCTACAGATTACACACTGCTGTCTTTGCAAATATACTTGCTGAGGCCTCAATATTTTCTATAGTGTGACTCTTGTACATTCGACAGTATCTAGAGAAATCTTACCCGGCAACTCCTGGGTCAGGAGGTCTCATGAAATTGTTGTTGTTATTGTTGTTTGCTTTCATCGCTGCTGCCATCCTCTTTGCTGGGCTGTCAGAGTCTTTGGGAAGTGTTGGAGCATGATTTCCTTGATGTTTGGCCTTCAGCAGATTCTCTTGCAGGTCCTTGCTGGACTGCCGTTTCACTGTAGAAACACCTTAAACAATCCTTAATGAGGCCTTCTTGCAGGTCACAAGGTGAGAAAATTCAGTATGAGAAAGAAAAACAGAGATATCCTGGGTTTAAACTATAAACAGGACCCTTTTCAAACCAGTGATACATCAGGCTATGATGTTAAACTTATATTGTCCCCTATGTCAGTTCCAGAGCCCCATTTGGGGGGGGGGGGGGGATTTGCTACTGCCTCCCCCGCCCTTTCCTTTCGTTATACAAGGCAACTAATTAGGGGTGTTTCCTTCAAAGCTGGATGGCAACTGCATGAGAGGCGAGGGACCATTTCTGTATACAAATAAAGCCCCATCTGTAAAACGAATGTGCAGGCAAAACTTATGGAACAAGGCCAAAGTTTAGATGTGAATGAATTACCGCAACTTTCCACCAGAGTTTACAGCCGGTGCATACAAAGAAGAAGACAAATATTAAGGTAGATTAATCTGCAACTGATGTGTGATATAATCCTGTCATCCAGCCGCATTTACTTCCCAGGATTTTATGTGGTACTAAAGTGTGTTTTAACATATCTGTTTCTGCTTTAGATGCTGGTATTGCATGTGGTCTCGTACATAGCAGTCTGCCACTTTTTCACTTATATTTAAATATCACTTTACTGATCTGCAGTACATACTTTAAATAAGTAAATATAAATTTCGTCATTTTTAGTAGATCCTCTGTAGAATACCACCCTCCATTAGTCCGTCAACAAGAATTTGGATTTCTTAACAATTCCACAGCTTTGTGTATTTTCACAATCAATGTGTCTCCAATGTCCAAAGGCCATCTTTTCTGAATGTATTGGTAAGTATTTTTAATGAAAACATCCAATTTCATGGGACAGGAGGGCAAGATCAGTGGAGCCCAGATAATCAAGCAGAGTAAAACAAACCATCCAGAATGATATGTCCAGGCTTGCCACAGGGATCACCGCTATCACCAGTCTTATTCAACGTTTACACGGTGATGATCACTGAGCAGCAGTTGAATGGAAAGGGAAGGACTTTGTCATTTGCTGATGACATTTTGATTTATCGACGAGGGCGTGATAGACAGGAGATCGCCAGCACTATGCACAAAGAACTCGATCGAATTGCCGCCTGGTGTGATGGTTCCAATGCCTATGTCAATCCTTCGAAGGCATCAGTGTCATGGTTCTCTTTGAACAATCACATTGTCAAGTCGGACTTACCAGAAGTGAAAATGCGTGATAATGCATTGATCAGAACCAACGTTATGACGTTTCTTGGGGTGAGGTTCGATCGCAGCTTGTCATTCAGGGAACACGTTGACCATGTGATAACAAAAGCACGCAAAGGTCTATCTGCAATGAGGATTATGGCTGCTTCCAATATTGAGCAAAGACTACTAATACTTCTATTCTACGGTCTGGTCCTTTCCCCCATAGAATACGCTCTGGCCATCCTCACTGTCAGTGCTACCCAGATTGAATGACTCGAAAAGGTGCAAAATGAAGCCATGCGTATTATTTTGGGATGTACTAGAGACACATCCTGTGGAGCAATGAGGTATCTACTTGACTTTCCAACAATGAACCAAAGGATCAGGATGTGTAGGGCTCGGGCATATCTCAAAATATGCGCTGATAAGAAACACCCACTGCATCAAGCGCTTTTTAGTGAAAAGGGCGACAGACTGAAGAGGGGGAAATCGTGGCTAGGTCGGGCAGAAGATGTCATTAGGCAAATATGCAGCCTAACCGACATCATACCTGGTGCAGAATGGATACCTGTGCCTCAGGCGTTTATTTGTACATTTTCCTGTATTGTCACACTCAACAGGCGATGTAGAGAAGAGAATCCTGTTGCTGTTAATGCAGAGGTCAACACTCTCATCAGTGAAAATTCAGACGAAGCAGATGCAATAATCTATACAGACGGATCCGTTATACGCCAAAGAAGAAGCGCATGGGCATTTACAGCACGCTCAGCGGGCAGAACAGTCAAAGAAGCCAACGGCGCCTTCTCCATGACAACCAGCAGCATGACGATGGAGGTGATGGCAGTGACACAAGCGCTTGCCTGGCTTGAAACACAAAAATACACCCGCGTGTGTATACTCAGTGATTCAATGAGTATGATCCGGAGGGTTCAGGCAGGTTCAGTGCGAAGACAATGGCTTGAATCATTACAGAAGTCCACTGTTCGTGGAGTCACCTTTATTTTTGTTCCGGGACACGCAGGCGTCGATGGAAATGAAAGAGCTGACAGGTTGGCTGGATCCGCTATCACTACCGACGGTCAGCCTATGGATCATGCTGATATTATCAATGCCCTCAGAGAAATGGGAAGAATAGAGGACTTTGGTGGCAGTGAATCCACATCACTCGCCAGAATGGCAGACTTGGGAATTAAGATCGGCACAGCAAAAAACGAGACGCACACCAGCTACGCCAGAAGACTTGTTAATCAACATAGAACTGGTACTATTAGCCATCGGACGTTGGGGTTCATACTGAGGGGAGGATCTGAGCACCTATGGACATGTCCGGAGTGCAATGAGGATAACCCAACTAACTAACTAACTAACTAACTAAACCATCCAGAAATATTTAAAAAAGATGTACTTTGCCAGATTCTTGAGGAACAATTAAATGTAGTTCTTTTTTAAATAAAGAAGTCACTATTTAGCAAAACAGGACATTTGCAGGAGCCCTCCAGTTGATTTACTGGGGCACAGTTCTGTACAAAGTTTGCTAACATTATTCAGTAAACAGAATGTTATGTGTTATGCTTCAGAAGAATTGCTAACAGGGGACTAAACATAATGTGTTGTATTTAAGCTTATTTCTACAGTAAATTCAGTTAATACAATGTTTCATATAACCTTCAGAGTACTATATGGGCAAAGAACTTTTAGAAACTTTTTCCAAGACGTCCTAATAGCTTTTTTTAAAATAAAAACTATTAGTAAATACCTGCTGTTCTCGATGGTGGAAGGCTTGTTGGAGGCGGTGGAGCAGAAGCTGACTGACTAGGAGGGGGCTGGCTTGGTGCCGGGCGACCTGGTGCTGGACGACCTGGAGCAGAACGACCTGGGCCACCTCTGCTGGAGACCACACCTTGAGGAGCAGGAGGCCCTACTGGTCGAGACTGTTTCACACCACCATTCACTTTGTTGACAATCTGTTTCTTTCCTGGTCCTGAGGACAGTATTATAATTATCAGATAAAAAGTTTCCAGGTATTAACATAATTTCTGATGACTAGAACATACATACTTAGTCAAGTTGATCCTCTTCTAGCCTAGGGTGTAGAGCTTTACCAAAGAGATTGCGAAATTTCTCTATCAGCTGTCTTCTTTCTGGTTTTGCTCCATTCCAGTACTTTGTCAGTCAGACTATCAGATGTCTTTCTACTGACATCCTGGAGGTCTGGTTACCTATTCTGGTGGCAAATTCTCTCCCATTCTGCACATGTGTCTAAACCATCATAACTATGAATTTTCCAACTGAGTTTGTACAGCCTGGGTTTCAAGATACTATTGTCTGGTAGTGAACTTTTTCCCTTCTTGTCACTTGGATCACCATTCTCAAGACACCTTATTTCTGAGGCCTGAAGCTGGCTTCTGTGAGCTGTAGTCATTGTCCATGACTTATACCCGTAGGTCAGAACAGGTGTATAGGTAGAGCGGTATACAGACATTGTCACCCATGCCTGTTTCTCTTTTGCTGAGAAACCCTCAATATATGGCCTTGAAAAAATCTCACAGCTGCCTCTTTTCAAGTAGCCAACTCTACCTTAATGCCTCCACTCCCGTCTATAACAATTCCAATGTATTTGAATTGGCTGACCTACTTCAATGTATACTGTCCCATCATGATCTGGTGTTTCTTCTCCTCTCTTGAGATCAGCACAGTTTCAGTTTTAGAAATACTGACGGTCTTCCATCTCTTCTCAAATTCTTTCTTCCAGTCAGGCAACTAGAACACTGAAGAACTAATTTATATTAAAGCAGCATTTGATTTGAAATCCTTCTTTTCCTTGCTCTCTTTTCCCAGTTACTGAAATAAAGTGTTGAGCAGAGATGCAAGGATTATCGGCATGCTCCTCCTACTGTGTTGTATAAGTTGGTCTTTATTTCAGGCACACATCTCCTAAATTCTTCTTGGGCATCAAAGCGTAGAACAGTTAAATGTTTTTCCAGTTCGTGCAACATGTCATGAATTTATTTTTAATCGGTTAAATATCCTTCACTAAAAATTGTGTTAAGTTTTACAATAAGTTAATTTTCCTTCTTTGTCTTTGTAATTGAGGAGGTAACTGCACTATGCCCCTTTACAGTATTGCTACAATCTATGCACATTCTAGCTGGCCCTTCAGACATTTGTTGCCCAGGTCAGCCTTAATTTGATAATAAACAGCACTAAAAAAAAGTGCCCCCCCCCCCCCTTTTTTTTTTTTTGTTGTTAAAAAAATAAAAAAATTTTTATCAATGTTGAAAGCAATATTTTCTATTTCTTTAGCACTTCTTCAAGTGTTATTTTCTCTTGTTTGTATTTCTGGGCGTGAGTAGCAGTAAGTAGAGAGAGGTGTTTTCTCAAATATATAGATCATTATCATTATCTATTTTATCAAAATTTTAGAACTTTGATAATCAATATTGGTAACCCATACATATTCATTGTACTTCTCTTACAAATTTTAAATGTCAGTTTCTATAATAATATAACCTTTACTTGCATTGCTTATTGTTTCAAAATGTTACAATCTGGATGGATTCTAGTACAACAGCTTCTATTATAAGCAAGCTGTAAACGAATGCATGACAACAATGGAAAAAAAAAAAATCTAGAATACTAGAGAACACTCACTTGAATCTTTAGGTAGGCCAGGACCAATAGAAACTGTGAGAACCTTTGATGATGGCTTCAGCTGAGCTATATCTCCAACACCTCTGACAAATCTCACCTGGCGAGTACCTCCACCTCCCCAGCCCTCTTTTTTCACATTGAAATCCAGGCTAATAACAATGAGGTGGCAGCGGAAGAAAAAGTTAGCATTACTTAATATCTGAAAAATCTATCTCTGTAGATATGGAGTGAATTATTCTTGTATCCAATTGTCACTACTGTCTGTATGTCTTCTTCTGCCTTTCTAGTCCCCAATGGAGCATAGGCCCTCAACCAACTCACACCAAGTGGTTCTATCCTTTGCTATCGCATGCAGCTCTCCCCATGTCCTCCCCATCTTTCAAACTTCATTCTCCAGCTCCCTTCTTCATGCGTTTTTTGGCTTTCCTTTATTCCTAGCCTCTGTTGGTTCCAATGCAAAGACATTCTAGTTATACTGTTCTCCGGTTCTCTCGATGTGTGTCCTATCCAACTCAACGCCAGCATCTGTCTGTACCACTTTGTTAGGGTGGTGTAGACAGATGATCATGAGCCTGAGGATTTAGGGACGCACGGCTAGTGCTGTCGCCACGGACTGTACAGGTCAGGATGTTTAATTTTGCCCCAACAGAAAAACTCTATCACCTTACTGTGGGTCAAACTCGGGTCTCTGCATGAGAGCCCAACATTGTAACCACTTGGCCAGCCGCTCCAGTTTTAGCCAACATGGATCATCTAACTTTCTTCTTAATTATTCTTTCAGCTCAACATCATATCCTCCAATTATTTTCTATCAGTAAACGTCACACCATCCAATTTTTTTAAAACACAGTGTAATATTCTTTCAGCAAACAACACCATTAAATCTTTCTAGATTTGGAGTATAAGTATTCTTTAGACCAACATCATAGTGTCAAATCTTTCTAAACTTTTCTTCAAGTTTGCAACATACCCTACACTTTTTGTAAATTATTCTTTCAGAAAGCATTATACCACCCAATATTTCCACATCTGTTACAATTCCTGGTGATGTTGTTGCATAGTGGTTAGTGGTTTGATTGCCAGAACAGTGATCTAGGTTAGTCACTGGCACAGACAGGATTACTTTTCTGTCTATTCTGACTTGTGCGTGGTGAAAGGTCACAGCCTCCCCGAGGTAGTCCTGGTAACTGGGGGTGCGAATCCCCAGGCAAAACACAATGGATCTAGAGGAGCAAACTTTGATAATCAACCCGGTGCACCACACTGTACTGCCCCCTGTGGGAGGCAAGGAGCCGGAGGGGTGCTGAACAGTCTTAGGGGTGGAAACAAGTATGCTAACCCCCCTGAATACCGGAAACTATGTGAAGGCACAGGGACTCAGGACGTGACGATCCAGTTGCCCCAACTACTCATGCTTAGAGCTATGAGCTCAGTGAAACCAGCAGGCACTCTAGTGGTGGGGAATGAGCACACTGTTAGCCCCACCTTAGCTATGTGTTAAAGGGGAAGGCAGAAACACAACCCATATTTCCTTTAGAACTGGTACAGGGCATTTCTGGCTGCTGCCCTGGGAGGTAGGTAATCCACAGACACCCCAGCATTACAATGCCATCAATATGACTTGTGGGGTCAATCCAACATTATGAAAACAAGTACCAACCAATTTTCATAATTCTCTTGCTTTTTGTCTAGGTTCCAGGGAACTATTTTGGGGAGAATAAGAATAGACCCCCTGCCCTCCTAACATGCATGTCATAAAAGGTGACTAACTATGTGTGTTTCCTGTGAAGTCAGAGTGTATCTGCCTGAGAGAAGAGGCCAACAGTATGCATACAAATATTCCAGATCTGTAAAATGGATGTGCACGCAAAACTCAAGTTATGGAAGAAGACCAAAATTCAGAAGTGGACAAATAACCAAAACTTTTACACTGGAGTTTACAGCCACTAAAAGTGATGAAGAAGAAGATATTAATTATCACCAACTTCTACTTCTGCTAGTGTGCAGAATGGGGAGGAATAGTTTGCAGCGACATGCCTGATGGATGGCACTGGTCATTGTCATTCTGTGTGAATGTACAATGTCCTTAATGTTATCAATGTGTCTCTATCTTAGGCGTCCTCTTGCTTTTACATCAGATCTGTTTAGATGTAGCACTGTTATCATCACTGCATTCTAACAAGCTGACCAAATCATTTATTTATCTTCTGCTGTTCAATGAATTTGGTGCAAAGTGTTGCTGCCCCAACCTGTCTCACAGTATCATTTGCTCACTTTGTCTAGGGTGATTAATTTGGCGCTCTCCTCAAGCATCCCATTTCACAGTGTTAATTTTGCAAAGGAAAGTCATTGATAATATCCACGCCTGCCACTGGTAGCAGGGTGCCAGTATGAATATTCTGTTTATAATCATTTCTAACATAAATTACCTGTCTGAAAACTGAATGTAAAGCTCCTTTCCTGTCCTCTCCTTGTACTTTTTGGACAGCACAGTGAGAAATTCTGTTTTAAACACATTCTCCAGGAGGCTGCCATAGTCATTCTGCACATTCAAGATGAAGTAGTCGTCCTGCATGGTGCTGAAAGTGGATAGATATAGTTATCTGAGCTCATTTAAAAAATAATTCTAACATCTTTCCATAAATATCATCATCATTTTATTCATAGAGATGGAGCTGTATTTACAGAAGCAGGTGACCCAAAAAACATATTGTCAAATACATATTTTTGGGAGACGGGATTATAATTAAGTGCCTTCATTTTCAAGGTAATGACTTTTTTGCTTTTATTTACCACTTTCAGGCATGAGAGTACACAAACTTGCTTGGGGATTCTTGTGAAATTTAATGAGACTCAACTCATATAAAGAAAGAATACTCTTTAAAAAAAAAAAGGCAGAGCAATTAAACAAATCAAGTGACTGATGTGAATCGACAACCTTCAGCAAGCTGCAACAGCACACAGCCAATAGGGTGAAAGATTCATCCTTACCCCCACCCACATATAAAAGCCCACAATTAAAAAAAGCTTGAACTCTCCTTGTGGGTTCCGGTGTTCTATTGTGAGGAAAACAACATGTTGTTGGAAACGACTAATTGGGGACTTCCTTCGAAGTTGGAATTCATCTGTCCGAGTGGTAAGGAACAACCACTGTACATAAATAAGCCAGTAAAACGAATGTACATGCAAAATTCAGGTCCTGGCACAAAGCTAAAGCCCAAATGGACGAACAAACAGGACCTTTTACCGGAGCTTATAGCCCATGAACAAAGAAGAAGAAAACTTGAACATTGCTTGTGTAGAAGTAAGAAATCAAGGATTAGAACAAGCTCTAGAAGCAAGACATCAATATCCTAGCCTTTTAGCTGGTCCCGTTATCAATCAGCAGGTCCTTTACAGAATGGTGCTCTTATCCCAGCATATCTGAAAGTCTCTCTTTCTCTAGCCAATTCTCCAGCCCAATGTGCTTTCATCATCAATGCATGTTTTGTATCCACCTTGTATTGCATGGAACTGTACCTTCCATCATTGTTCTCTCCAGCCCACCATGGCAGTTAACATGGCCAAAATACCCCCAGCTTTCGGGACAGGATGCTGTTTATGAGCCCATTCTCAACTCAGCTAGTACACTTCACATAGATAATCATCTACTGGTTCACTGCCAGGAACTCACCTCATACTAATGCCAGAAATCTGATCAAGTGGAATGTTTCGTTTGACCACAAGTTGCTTGGTTCCTTTGTGGGGTCCCTTCTTTATCTGTTTCATAAGATTAGCAAAAGTGAAACTACATAATCAATAATTGAAGATGCTTTTCAAAATACATTAAATATACAAAGAATATATTATAACATGCAAGTTATTTCTGCCAATCAAAACTTTAATTATACTTCCCAAGATCTGTAAAATAAATCTTACTAAAATATAAATGCTATCTCATTACCATGCAATGTTTTGTATTAACAAACAAATAGAAAATAAAGCTATATGCATGCATTTTTCCCAATATTTCTCTCAATAAGAATATTTAACATCATCAAATAGTGATCATAAATGATCTCAGAAACTTACAGACAGAATTTTAAGTATTAAGCTTATAAGCCCGTGTGATCCACCATTTTGGAGTTGTTGAAACTAGCATTATCAATGTATGTTTATATTTCATTCTTCTTACAGTCCATTAAGAGTAGCTTTGGTCTTTCCATTCGATTTTCATGACGAAGTGGTCAAGCCATTTGCCTTGCTCTCTGAAGGTCATGGGTTAGATTCACGGCTGTGTTGTTCAGTTCACAAGTGCAATTTTTACAGAGATCCTTAGGGATCATCACCGGAGCTGCAGAGTTCATGCTCTGCGTGGCACTCTCAGCAAGCAGCTAGCCATCCTGCAGAGACAGACCCAGCCATATGGTGAAAAACCCAGTGCAATGAAATCAATCTTCTCACCTTTAACCTTTTCATCAGTCTTCCTACAGCCTTCTGTCCTATATTCAGTCAATCATTTCTAACGCAGATATTCTTTCATGCCATGATGCCAGACAATCCAAAATTTTTTCTTGGTCTACCTCTACATCTCTTCTTACCCAACTCTCCCATTGTTGTAATGGATTCAGGTTTTCCCTTCTTACAACGTGATTAAACAAATGTGGACTGTCTCTTTCTAAAATGGGTAATCAGTTATCTTTGTAAATTAATTTGTTTCAATATATCTTCATTATACCTTTAACTGTCCATAGCAATCTTATAAGAGAATGTTTATAACTGGTCTGGGCTCACATCCAACTATAGAACCGTACATAACTTACTGAAGTAATAAGAGACAGACCATGTATTAGATGAACTCACATTGACACAAATAACTTATTCAAGCAATAAGAAGTAAGATGATGTGTTAGATGAACTCACTGTCTCAAGGCCCACAAGGATGAGATTTTTCCCAGTCAGCAGCAAATCTCTTTTGATACTCTGCAAACAGCATAAATTCACTATTTAATTTAAACATGAAGAATCTAAAATCAATTTAAGTTCAAAAATAAGTTTAAAAATCAGATTAATACATTTTTAAAAATGTATTACTGACCTGTGTACCATGGTTGTTTTTTGTGTGTGTCCTTTTTTCCAAAGATATTTTCTTGGAAATTGTGTATGGGTTCATGGCCTAGTCTGTTTATAGCATTCACAGGGTGAAAGGCTTAATGGGACTGTTGATGGTGATGGTAATTTTGAGTCATGCAGGAAGTATTCTTCTTCTTCTTCTTTGTTCAACGGCTGTGTTTCGGCAAAAAGTCCTGGTTGTTTGTCCATTTGGACTTGGGTTTTGTGCCAGGACATCCCTTTTACTGGTTTATTTGTGTGCAGCTGGTTGTTCCTTGCCACTCGGGCAGATGCACTCTTGACTTCGAAAGAAGCCCTAATTAGTCAGCTCCTATGATGTGCTTGTTGGGGAGGCAGTGGGTTTATTTTTGCTTTTCCCACAATGGAGTGCCAGAACCCACACGGGGAGCAGGAAGTATACAGGTATTATTATAGAAAAAGTCCTATTTTTATGCACTAAGGCACATTAGGCAAAAGATCTAAATAACAGCAGGACTAGTAACCCATATAGCGCCTATGCACCAATGCTGTTATCTTCTTGCCATGTAGGATGTCACAGTCAAATAAAGACCATATACATTACAGTCTGAAGTTAACCTATGACAGCCATGGTAAAAACTGAGCTACCATGGCACAGTGATATGCCCTTGGAAAAAACAATATGGGGGTAGGTGAGGAGAGGAGTGGTTTGTGGTAATCATAATTTTTAAAAAAAAAACTTAGAACCCCTGTAATAGCAGTTAATAAGTGTCTATTTGATGAAAAATTACATGAACTAAAATCTCAAAGGAAACATAAGGACGCAGTTGGACCATTCAAGGATCAGTCTGACTGACTGTTTACCCCACTAGGACATCACACAAGCGATAAACACCCGGTGACACAAACTGCCACCATGCAGATGAGGATTATCCGCGCAGAGGTCCCAGAAACCCCTTTCAGCTGTTTGGCATGTCTATAGCTAGGCCATATCTATGCTATATTCAGGGGCCCCAGGAGAAACCAGGGTGGGGCTTCAAATAATGAAAAATTGCATCCCACATAGGGATGACTTAAAAGGATCAGTCCTTTTCAAGATCACAACCTCCAGACAGTAGACAGAAGGCATCATAGTCAGCAAAAAGCGGAATTTTGCTTTTAAGTGATGAGGAGGAAGAAATGCTATTGTTAAATTATTAAATGCCTCAGTTATAACCTAATCTCTTAGGGTAACAGCGTCAATCGATAACGAAACAATTACATTAATTATTAATTAACTGATAATCTTCATACCTTAAATCTTCGATCAAATTTATTGACAGTATGTGCAAACTCAATTCTCTCCCTTTTTCCTGCCAAGGCTCGTAACTCTGGGTTATCATCTAGACCTAGATAGTCTCCAACAAAGTTGCGATTAAGGCTGTTCTTTCTACGCTCTTTCTTTCCATGTAGGATGTCACAGGCTGCAAATAAAGACCACTTGCATTCAAGTCTGAAGTCAAGCTGCTACCATAAAACATGCAGTCAGTTTTCCTTCATGTCAGTTTAATGTCATTCCCTAAAAATACATTGATTAGATATTTTACAGTTCTTTCAGTCTTCCCCATGTGGAATGCAATTTTTCCTTATTTGAAGCCCCACTCTAGCTTTTGCCGAGGCGCCCTGAATATAGCTAGACCATAAATATGGTTTAATGGCTGAAAGGGGTTTCTAGGACCTCTCCACGGGTGATCCTCATCCACACAGTGACACTTTTTTACCGCTTGAGGGATGTCCTAGTGGGGTACAACAAGAGAGAGAGAGAGAGTGATTAGATCTGCTTACGTACTATATATATATTTAGATACAATTTTTGCCACTAACAGTGGGATATACATAAATTGCTCAGCACAGTCCTTAATTTTAATGTTCTAGGAGGCTGGACATAAAAACAGTCCTAACATGGTCCTTAATCTTTTTGTTATTTTTAAGCCCCATCCTAGCTGTTGTTGGGCACCCTAATATAACCTAACGCCCACACTGGCTGTTGTATCGTGCTCTTATATAACCTAATGATTGAACAGAGTTTCTGGGACTTGGGCCCAGGTGATTCCCATCCGAAATGTGCAGTCCTAGTGGGGTTGAAAACCACTCAACAGAAAAACAGATTAATTCAGCTGAATGAATCTGGTGATTTCATTCAAGAACAGTTTGGCTTAGAGATTAGTAAATGCACTTCACAACCTTCGATGTACTATGGTTTAATTTCAGCACTGGCCAGTTTATTTTTAAAAAGTGAACAGCTGTCAGGGTTGCACAATAAGAGAATCACTCTTCACATGATATTTAAAATATTTATTAATTTATAATTAAAGACAGCAGTGGGTACTCTCATTGTGAAGATTAACCCTTTTTTCCTGCTCTGAGGCATAATGGGTACATTATATAGTGCTGGATGCAAATGTTTAGACCATGTCAGCACTTAGTGAGTGATGTTGTTAACATCACAGATGCAGATTTAAACACATGACCTTTAAGCCCGCATGCAAACATCTAGCTGCTACACCACAGCAGCGCTTATTGTGGGAACAGCATATTATTATAATTTTTTTTTTTTTTTTAAACATTAACAATGAAAACTATATACTAACCCCATAAGATTTTTTTTTTTCAAACTTACAAGATCAAATCAATCAAGCCCTCTTCACACAAAAGGTTAGCTTCAGTGGACCTTCAGCATACTAAGCCTTTAATCCTAGATATAAACCTGCAGTTTTTTGTCTTTAAATATGACAGAAATACTTCACTTCTGTCTTACTTTCAGAGATCAAATCAAATGTGATCCCACACAAAAAATGTCAACAACAACAAAATCTTAATTTAATTTACGGACCAAACCAGTATTTAATGAAAAATAATTACAGTGGTCAATGAACAAGAATTTGGCAGAGAAATGACTGGACTACATCTCTCTGAGCTTTAAAATAATGTTTAGCTGCAACCTAGCCGCCAAAAACCTTTAAAATTGTGTGCAAGTAGGATGTAAGTTTTACAAGTATTAAGGTAGACTCATGTGAAGAAAATGTCACGAACCATATTGCATGCAGTCTCCGTGGCAAAGTGGTCAAGCCGTTTACCTCCCGCTCTGAAAGTCGTGGGTTTGTTTCACGGCTGTGCCCTTCAGTTCATGAGTGCAAGTTTCACAGAGATCCCTGGGGATCGCCACTACTGACTGCTACAGAGTTTGTGCTCAAGTCGTTTTGCGGAGAGAGCCCGAGCCATAATATGGGATAAAACCTGGTGCAATTACGTTGATCCTCTCGACTTTAACCTTTAACCTTTATACTGCACGGAGGAAGAAATTATGCAGGAAATGGGGAACAGGCTTTCAGCTTCGGTTAAACAAAAATAGGTCTATTTAAAGTTAAAAAGTTAAAGTCAACAGGACTGATTTCATTGCACAGGGTGCAATTATCATGGCACCTTAGTAAGTAGAATCTTTGAGTGTATATTACATTACTGGTTTCAATAACAACATTAATGTTAACTACTTCAAGTTAATGACTGGTACCTTCTTCTCTCAGTTTAAAGTACAGTTTTTGAGCATAATGTTTTCTCCAGACTTTCTGTATAACTCTGGCATAGCCATCAAACTTTCTCTCTCTCATTTCTTCAAGAAGAAATAACTGAAATTGTAAAATATACACCAGTGAGAAAAATTATTACTATCATAATTTGCAGCAGTAAATGCTTAAAAAATATATGTTTTTACATAGATATTTTATCACTGTTATCTCGCCTTGTGCTGCAACATGTTAATTCATGTAGTCCTGAAAGTACAGATAAACACATTATTCCATGAAAGTACTGACATTCTTGTGCTCATAAATAGCTCGTTGTTTTTCTGAATGTACTAATAATCTTGACTCAAAAGATGTTATGTATCAGAAATCTGGTGGGAATAAAACAAGAAGAGATAGAGTTCCCAATGAATAACTAAGAACAGTGGCAGGTTCAGAACCGGTAAAAGATTTCAAAGAACATCAAATAATCAAATGGTTTAGTTATCTGGTCAGAATTGAACAAAATCAAATAGGAGCTACAGCATACTTCATGCGAAAAGCAGGCTACAAGTCAGGAGGTAGACCAAGAAAGATATGAGCAGACGGAGTAAAAGAGAACACTAAAAAAATGCATTATGACATTAACACAATCTATTCAACTGGCAAAAAGACAGCAAACTACATTTAGCTTCTTTCAGTGATGCTTTACCGCATTATTATAGTAGGACAAAATAAGAAGACAAAGAGTACAGAAATGTATATATATTGCTTAATATCTGGCTAAAATTGTATTCACTTAAGTACTAATGATTGTACTCAGCAGATACTTACCGACTCCGGATTCTTGATGAATACTTTAGTTTGGCCCAACTGAAACTGGTCCCTATCCATGTTGACAGTGTTCAGAAGGTGTAAGACTCCCTGTTTGGGCTCCCCTCTCCAGTTAGGATACGTCTCTGGCGTCAGGATTGCATACCTAGCAGATATATACTTCATGCTTAATAAAGTAATTTAAAAAACACACACACACACACATTTTTGAAGACACAAAAATAAAAAGTTATAAGTAAGAAATAAATACCAGGGCAGTCACACTCTAGTTTCGAAGGAAGTCCCCAATTAGTTGACTATTTCGACATGCTTGTTGGGAAGGCAGTGGGACTATTCTTGTTTTCCCCACAATAGGGCCCCAGAACCTACACAGGCAACACATATATACACATACATATCATAACTATGTATTAGGTTTTTTGCACAATGTCACCCTTTCCACGGTCTGCCTGAAAATATTGGTCTCTCACCAGCTCTCCTGCCTCGAGCACTTTCATATTCAAGGAGTCACTTATACCCTGCACCCATCTTCGCGTTGGTCGGTCCATGCCCCCTACCCCCCCCCCCCCCCCCCAACCATGCTTTTTTTTTAAAACCAATCTTCCTTGCTGTTCAGATCTTTTAATCTTTTAAAATGTCAGTATTTCTTCTCTTTTTTTTTTTGTCTATGTTTTTCTGAGAATCTTTCTATAGCATTTCAGCTCAAAAGTCCCTATTTTATTTCTTAAGGACTGGCAGATAGTCAACGACTCACATCCATATGTTGCTACAGGGAAGATGCATGCTCTCAAAATTTTAACTTTCATTTCCTTGCTGGTGCTTAAACATAGACTTTTAATACTGTTTAATTTTTGTATTGCTATCGTCATCCCCCTTTTCACTTCTGTCAAACGGTCTCCATTTATATTTATTGTGCAGTCTGGATATTCAAAGTCTGTGACATTTTCAATGTCTTATATAAATTTATATAAAAGAGTACAGGGTAAACACAGAAAAAGAAGATCCAAATATTTATATAGGTAAAGATGGAAAAAAGAAGATATAAATATTTATACAGGCAAAGATGGAAGAAAGACGGTGCAAATATTTATACAGGCAAAGATGGAAAAAAAGATATAAATATTTATACAGGCAAAGATGGAAGAAAGAAGACAAATATTTATACAGGCAAAGACAGAAGAAACAAGATACAAATATATATATATACAGGCAAAGATAGAAGAAAGAAGATACAAATATATATATATATATATACAGGCAAAGATAGAAGAAAGAAGATACAAATATATATATATATATACAGGCAAAGATAGAACAACAGTTAGAGATAATAAAAAAGTGCTATGCCTGCTAGCCTGGTGATTTAGTTCTCAATCCTTGTTCAGCTAACAATGTTAAAATTTACTGATTTTACTTTTCAACAGATTTTTTAAAAACATATTTATAAGTAAAATATACACTGAAAATAATTTTACTGTCACTTAAACAAAGAGCATCAAACCAGAAGATGCTACAAACTTAAGTTCTTACCTTTTGATAAATTTTCCAAACTCTCTCCTGAAGGCAAAACCTGCTCTGCGCACTCGGATGTTCTCCTTTAATCCGAGATATTCAACTTGATGTTTCACTCTGTAATTATACCATGTATGATGATAGTGAAACAAAACAAGGCTGTGACACTGAGAGCAGATATGAGATCGTCTTTTTTTATGTTCAACAACTGTAAACTCTGGTGAAAGATTCTATTTTTTCGTCCATTTCTGGACTTTGGCTTTGTTCCAGAACTTGAGTTTTGTGTGTGCATCCATTTTACAGATGTAGCGTATTTGTAAGCAGACTGCTCGTTCTTTACAGCTCAGGCAGACACCCTCAGACTTAGAAGGAAACACCTCTAGTCACTTTTCATTACATGCTTGTCAGAGGGGCAGTGGGCGTATTCTTATTTTTTCCCCCGAATGGGGCTGCAGAACTCACAGAGGACAGATCTGGGATAAAACTATACAGGTTAGTTGCGTATCCTTTACAGGACGTTGCAGAACCAACCCCAACAGCCCCTGGCTGTTGTGTGGTTTTTCTAGGCAAATTTATGTCCAGTAGTTTGCCATTGCTTTCTGGACGGTCGGCTTTCTTGATGCCACTGTCCAAACCAACGCAAGGCCCATGGCCTGCAGCTGGGATCGAACCCGGCATCACGGCATTATGAAGCGTTCGCATCGACTTAGCCACAGAGCCAACAAAACTATAAAAATAAATGATAAGGCAAGGCTGTATCAGAGACTGTAAGTGATCAAACTATTGTGTCACTCACTGTAAAGCAAAGCTGTACGGTTAATAACTAACTAGTAGGAGACGGCTGGTAGACTGGTTGTCTGGAAGATTGAAGTTAAACTCTGATATAGGTGTTCAGGATGTTTACACACTGAAGAGAGATTGCACCTCTTAAAGCAAGGTTTGTGTTGGATTTTCCCTCAACCTTGGACAAAAATACGGTCTCCAAAGGAACCCACACACACAAAAATGGAGGGAGATCTAAAACACTAAAAAAAAAAAACAGAATTACTGAGATTAATAAGACAGGGAGAAATGGTTTACTGATCAGCACATTAGGCACACCCACAGATGTGCCATCTCCTGCAGCAAATGTCTTAAGGTATAGATGCTAACTAAATGATAATGAAGAATAAGGCAGGAGATGTCAACAAATAAGAGGGTATGGCATGAGGGGTTCTTTATCTTCTTCTTCTTAGCATCCACTGCCTGTAAACTCCAGCGGAAAGTTCTGGTTGTTGGTCCACTTCTATACTTTTGGCCTTATTCAAGAACTTGGGAGCACATCAGCTTTACACATCTGGCTTATTCATTTGCAGACTGTTGGTTCCTTGCCTCAGAGGCAGTTGCATGCAGACTTCATAGGAAACTCCCCTAATTAGTCACCGTTTACAATATGCTTGTTTGGAGGTGAAGAGGATGGGTGGCAGGACAGTGGGTCTATCCTTTCCTCCCCCCCCCCTCCAATAATGGAGCTCTGAAACCCAAAAAGGGATGCATGAAGTGGTTAAGGACCTGTGTTCCAAAATCACTGTCACTAGTATCTTAATGCAGGTGAAATATTGAAATAGGCTGTACCATGTATTAAAAAAAAAAAAAAATAAGACAGCAGACATATTTACCTGACATCTTCCCAATCTTTAGCCCTTTTGGTTTCATTTGGCTTGATGCATCGAATGTAGTGAGGAGTACATTTCATCAGAGTTTCCACTAGTTTATTTGCCTGTGTCTTTAATATGAAAGAAATTAAAGCATATAACAGTAAGGTGTAAAAAGTTTGCTCTTTCTAATGTGCTATGTAAGTTAGTCTTCATTTCTCTAAGGTTATTCTTAATGTTGTTGTTCCATAGTCTTAATTTCTCTAAGGTTATTTGCTGTTCTTTAACTAGTAATAATGTTGTTGCTTTTTTAAGTACTAATCTTCTAATTGCACCATTTTTTATATTTATCAATTCTTGTTTATTAAGCAGCTCAACAAAGACATCATATGTCTCTTGTTACAGTTTTGCACTCATCAGCAGTAATAAGGGTCGATGTCTGATACTAGCAGAAAAATGATGACCATAAAACAGTTCTAAGATTTGCCTTGGCAAACATAAAAATCTTTCTAGTGGAGAAGTGATGCAGGTTATTCCATCATCTGATTTGCCTTTAAGAATTAACTTAATAATTTAGATATATATTTACTAATGGGTGTGGAAGAAATTATGCTACATACTATCTCTGCTGTTAATGTTTCTATTCCAAATAGTTGAGCAGTCTAATCTTGGAAGCTAATTGTCGTTCTTATCATGGCATCTGTACAAATTTGAATTATGATATTTTTATTCTTTTAAACCTTTACTGTACAAAGATTTGCTTATTTCCAACAAGATAAATTATTTCATGAGTATTTATTGACAACCAAAATTAAGAAACAAACTTTAGAGATATGAGTGCCACTGAATAAATTTCTCTCACTGCAATGGCCTAAATAGGTATTCCACACAGGAATAAACTACAGACTGAATATAAACAGCATGATGTTCCACTAATCTGTTGAAAGAATTTACAAAATCTATATGAAATCTTTCCCAGTGTGTTATCAGAGCCGACAATGAAAGCAACATATAATCACTATAACTACCATGCATGTTATAAAATGTTACTTACAAAAGTTGGCATGAGATGGGCTACCTCATCCTGTAGAGAACTGTAGATCCAACAAATCGTGAACAAGTCTATAAAAGATTCTAGTGGGGGTTAGCTGAGGACCTATATAGCAACAAAAGTTGACAGACAAAAGAAGATGAAGAAAAAGATATATTATACTCTTCAGCTGCCAATTCCCTGTGTAGGTTTCAGGATCCCATTCAGGGCAAAAAAGAACAGACCAACTATGCCCTCACAAGCCTGTCGTAAAGGTCAACTAACTGGGGTGTTTCCTTCTAGGTCAGAGTGGATCTGCCTGAGAGACAAAGAACCAACGTTTTGTATTCAAACAAGACATCTGTAAAAGGGTTGTTCCTGCAAAACTCAAGTCCTGGGACAAGACCAAAGGCCAGAAGTGGATGAACAACCATAATTTTTTACTGGAGTTCACAATCCATGACCGCTAAAAGGTAAAAAGAAGTTGATAGTTTCTTACCTTAATCTTACTGCTGGCTGTTGTCGGTCTGCCTTTTGCCGCTGTGTCTACAACCTCTGGAAACAAGCTGACTATGAAAGGGCTGAGAATTGTAAAAAAACAAAAACAAATGTAAACAGATGCATAGATAAGAAAGCCACAAACCTTCTCCTCTATCTTGTTTATCTTTATCAAGTCAAGGAATACTGGAGTTTGATAAAAGTAGAGTAATGTGCATAGCTCACAAGCATTACAGAAAGTTAGAGACCCAATTATTTGTAAGAAAACAACCTGATGTAGGTAAGTTCTATGGAACCCTAGTTAATTTTACGGTCCATCATTCATTTAAAAGGAACTATGGTTCTATAGAACTTACTAGCTGCTTTACTTTTATGATAATGAAGTATCAATAGCAGACCTGGACAATGACAGAAAAAGAGAAAAGAAAAACTACAACTGAAATGAAATTCCTGCATGGGATCACAATATAACAATAGATATGATCAGAAATGATGAAATCCAAAAGAAAATGGGGGTAACAGCAACTATGGATTACATTAAAAGAAAACAGGTGAAATAGTTGGGCCAAATAACGAGGATGTCAACAGTGTACCACAGCAGGCAAAGATGTACAGACCTGGTGGAAAGTGAAGAAGAGACCGGCCATGCAAAATATGGACAGAGGGAATTACAGACTTCGTGGGAATTCAAATTTATGAAGCACACAAACAGGCACTTTCCCATAAATTATATTTCACCTAAACATCACAAAGTACTAGAGGATCAAGATGAGATGAGATGAAGTATGAATCATTCATTCTGATAGATCATCACGATCTGAGGAAAATGGTGCTGCGAGGAATGACCAGGGGATATGGCCAATGCTCAACACTTAGGGGAAAGGCAGGACACATATACAATCAGATTGTTACTGGTGACATCAGAAACTTGTATAAATCAACCATGAAGATAAATAATCAGAGTTCTAAATGTTGTACAAATGCTGATATAGGCGGGAAAAAGTTGTTAACAATTTTGTTTTCTTTTTATTTTTGCTTTCGTTATTATAAAATCACAAAGATATGATCAATTATAGGTAGCAAAAATATTAACACTGATTGGGCTAATATTTTTTAAAGAATTTATTGTCCATTCTAAGTTTTTAGTGCTTCATCGTATAAGTCTGTATATACTGCCTATAGTTAAAAGTAAAGGACCCTTTTCCACGCCTTTAAGCGTACTGGGAATATAGGGCTAGACCTACATTTTGTAGACCAATCTGCACTTGGTGAGTGATGCGGTCAGCATCACGCCGGCCACCTTTTTTTCCCCAAACTTATAGCTGGTACTCATTCAAAGCTGGGTTGACCTGGGAGTCAAGGTCATATATATATATATATTAAAAAAAATACATATATTTTCATGCATTTAGGCAATATATATATATATATATATATATATATATATATATATATATATTGCCTAAATGCATGAAAATATATGTATTTTTTTTTTTAATCTTGATATCTGATGAAGCAGGCAAGGCAAGTTTTAATCATCAACTGATCAGTTATCAATAATTAAACAATAAGGCAAGTTTTAATCATCAACTGATCAGTTATCAATAATTAAACAATAAGAGCAATAGTGGAAAATGAAACATCTTCAAATATCCTTTAAAATACAGTGTTACCGTTGGTAGTTCAGTGGATAATGAGCTGGCTTTCCCATACATTGGCGTGAGTTAAATTATTGTTTAGGTTTTTGTTTTTAAACATATGAGCACTGGTCTACCTTCTTTCATGAAATATGCTGCCAATGCAAAATTTTCTTAGAGGTAATATGGCAGTAAGGTAGCTGGTTACTTAAACTCATAATGGTGTGCTGTATGTGAAGTTATAATACTTCATACTCCTGTGGAAGTATCTAGAACAAAACTTATCCGACCAGTGTGTTAAAACAAATTTGTAAACTATATGCTTACTTGCTACTTGACTGCATCAAAAGCACTAGGTCTGCAAATAGGACATCACGGTTTCTCTCACAGAAACCGTTGGCAGTATATTCCACCTGGTGTTTGTCAATACAAGTACACAGAATGGATTACAGTGACTGTAAAATCCATGTCAAAAGATAAGAATAAAATCTGTGAAAACAAGATTCAACTAACTGTAAAAATGTATCTGTGGCTTAGGTGTTGCAAATGTGCTTCATAATTCAATTCCAGATGTGGGGGTTTGGTACCAACACCTTGCGCTGTTTTGAACAATGGTATCAAGAACCAACTGTTTAGAAAGCAACGGTAAACTACTAAAGGTAAAACGGAAAAGTGAAATCACAAAAACCAAAATATGCTGAGTTTGGTTCTGCAACATCCTGTAAAGGATACATAACTAACTTAAAACATTTCGGTACACCCATGAAACATTGTCATTAACTCATTCAGTCCCAGGCAGGTATCACTTACCTTGTGGATTCTTAAGTATTTATTACCTACAGTAAAAGTTGTTTCAATCCAGAGGGGTTACATTATGAGTTAGATTATCTTCACAGCACATCCATAGGCACTCAGATTCCCCTCTCAACATATTCATCAGCTTCGTGCGGTTAATAGTACCAGTCCTATGTTGGTTAACAAGACTTTGTGTGCGTCCAGTGTGCTTCTCATGCTTGGCTGTGCCGATCTTTACTTCCAATTCACGTTTTCTTAGAAATGATGTGGACACGTTGCTTCCAAAATCCTCAGAACATCCTATCTCTCTAAGGGCAATGACAATGTCTGTGTAATCCATGGGCCGGCCATCTTCAATTAATGCAGTACCTGCCAGTCTATCAGCTCTCTCATTACCAACAACGCCTGCATGCCCTGGGACAATTATGAGAGTAACTGCACACACAGGAGAATTTTGCAATGACTCAAGCCACTGTCTGCGTAACCAGCCTGCCTGGGTTACATTAGTCACAATAAGGCACCAAAAGGGTTAAAGTAATATTTTAGTTGACAAAGGTTATTATAACAACTACTTGGGCAGCAAAGAGTTTAAAAAAGACATTTCACGTATGGAGTAATCAATTAACGTATGGTGAGTTGATAAGGACTCTATGATTTAAATCCTAAAACTGAAATGCTTCCTTGAAATCAAAATATAAAGATCATACTTCAGACGGCAGGATACAAGTATAAAAAACAAAAAAAGCACCCTTCTTGTGCCAACGTCAAATAGAGAATCTGGGGCTAGATCCATTTTATATTTTTAATAAACGAATTGCCACTCAAGAGATGATGTCAAATACACTTTACTTCTGCTACTGTTCCAAGACAAGATGCCACTGTGCTACCGTATTTCTTCCTGCAATACACAAAAATTATTGTCATGTCTGTCAGCATTTCTGCTGAACCTCAAGTAACACACTAGGCTGGACCTAAAGTAATACACTAGGCTGGACCTAAAGTAACACACTAGGCTGGACCTAAAGTAACACACTAGGCTGGACCTAAAGTAATACACTAGGCTGGACCTAAAGTAATACACTAGGCTGGACCTAAAGTAATACACTAGGCTGGACCTAAAGTAACACACTAGGCTGGACCTGGACCTAAAGTAACACACTAGGCTGGACCTAAAGTAACACACTAGGCTGGACCTAAAGTAACACACTAGGCTGGACCTAAAGTAACACACTAGGCTGGACCTAAAGTAACACACTAGGCTGGACCTAAAGTAACACACTAGGCTGGACCTAAAGTAACCCACTAGGCTGGACCTAAAGTAACACACTAGGCTGGACCTAAAGTAACACACTAGGCTGGACCTAAAGTAATACACTAGGCTGGCCCTAAAGTAATTCACTAGGCTGGCCCTAAAGTAATTCACTAGGCTGGACCTAAAGCAACACACTAGGCTGGACCTAACAATTCTGCTACTTAGTTAATTAAACTACTCTCTACACTATGTGCCAAATATGATCATCACTTGAGAAGTCTTTAGACCAACCACCATTCTTCTTCTGCTTAGTTTTCATAGGCAGTAAACTCTAGTGAAAGTTTTGGCTGTTCATCCCCTTCTTGACTTTAGTCTTATTCTAGAACTTGAGTTCTGCAATGCGCATCCGCTTTACACATCTGGCTTATTTGTATGCAGACTGTTGGTTCCTCACCTCTCAGGAAGATACTCCCCTACATCAAAGGAAACTAATTAGTCAACTTTTAAAACATGCTTGTAGTGATGACCCTGCTTTGCATGGAGATATGAACTAGGCAAAGCCTGAGGTTTGCTTGTGGTCAGTTGGGAACCAAGACAGTTGAGATTGTTGTGATGTAGTAATTGAAATGCCTCAACGTCATGTGGAAGATCACTGCCAATGTATTGTGGGAAGGAGTAGCAATGTTAATGAAAAGCTGAAATGTGAGAATGGGAAAGAATAAATTGATAGAATGTATATTTGGAAATTGGCTGCTGTTAGCATTATTACCTTTATTACACGTGAACCAGCTTTCTTACACTTGTTAAGGGGGCAATGGGTCTAGTTCCCCCACTCTTAAACAGGACCCCTGGACCCACATGGGAAGCTGGCTAGACATTTTGCACATTAAGCGTTACAAAATAACTAGTGCAGTGTGGAATAAGCTTCTACTTTATATATGGATGTGTATAAAGGACACTGAAAACACATAGGCTAAGAAAGCACACAGGGCTGCAGAAAAAGAGAGACTTTCAGGCGCACCGTGAATAGAGCAATGTTCTGTTAAGGATATATTGACTGACTGACTGGTACTGGAAGAGTTAATTCAACATAGTGATCTGGCATAAATCTAGTCTTACCTGGCCGGCATAATGGTGAACAATAAAACCACCACTGCAACCTTGGTAATGCTTGTTTGTAGCCACTTGATTTTGCAGTTTCTGTAAGATATTAGTTAGTTATTTTATATTTTGTTAGATATTTTTAACTATATTACATTCTACAAGATCTGAACATCAAAGAAAACTGGCTTATAAACAGTATGAGTCTCAGAAGTTTCTTTAGCTACAATACAAATAATGTCTTACAGAGAAGAAAACGAATGAACAGACTTTATTTTTTTAAAAGGGCTGCAAACTAGGCACACAGGTCCGCCTTACATTCAGCCCTTTCAAGCATAACTCTCTCAGAAAACAATTGTATTCTATCTAAAAACATGGTACACTGATATGGCAGTACACATAATACTAAGAGCAAGTGAAAACAGAAAACATCAAAACAGTAATGGGAGACACTGCTCTTGGAAGAAGAGTCAGAATCAACTCGCACAAAGAAGGACACAACAGGTAATACATGGGCATTAAAATATACAAAGGATAACTGGCAAAGGAATAAGATGCTTTTTATTTGGCTATGATGGCAGTAATGTTCTGCAAAGGACATGCATTCTAATGATGATAATGATGCTTTTATATTTATTAAATTTTTTTTATATGGTGTTAGATACTTCTTCAAATATAGTACATGACACTGTCATTATAATCATAATGGCTGATTTTAACACCACATATATCTGAACGTGATGTAATCTCTCCTTGTTTCATTTGTTTTCTCTTTCCTTCCTGACTAATTTTATTTTTTTTTACTACCTTTCTTTCACTCCTTAATTTTTGAAAAAAAGTTTGTTCTTTCTTCATTCCTTCCTTATTCTGTCAATATCCTTCCTCTATTTCTCTCTTCTGCAAATGCTTTTAGAGTGGTTTTTTTGTTCTTCTACTGCCATCTGAAATCTCTCCTTTCACCTTTCTATTTTCAAAAATTTAAATAAAGCATAACAAAACATCCCCTTCTCTTCCCACTCTCTCCCACGCAGAGCATGTGAACATATACTTTGTGGCTTGGTAGCCTAACCTATCATTTTATAGAACCCTAACCCTTTTTTTGTCAGAGTGTCATAAAAGATTTACATCTTCTTCTTACTTAGCATTCCGAGCCCTTGAGGTTCATTGCTGCAGATATCAAACAATTGAGGGACAGTATATGAATCGGCATTTCATCCACATAGCATTAACAATCAGACACTTAAAATATTTATAACTTGAACAGATCTGGAGCAGATATGATTGGTGGAAGATCTACCTTATCCAACTGATTGAGGGACAGTATATAAATCAGTAGTTTTCCACTTCTGATGTTCACCACCTACCCCAAGGAGTTTGTCATCAGCTCCTTCAGAGACTGCATGCATGGTAGCACATATATCATCCAGGACACACATGACACCAGGTGGATTCTTGGACTCTATCAGATCACACACAATCTTGTTGTTGAAGTAGTCAATCGGTGTCCACTTTATGCCCTCCTGAACATATTCTTCCTGAAATACATTTAAGACTATGTTTATTACTGTGTCTGTAAGAGTTTCACTGGTTATTGGTACACTTTTATTATTATTTACATTATTAATAAAACAAATACTTCTTAAACATATTATTTATGAACTACTGTGTCTGTAAGAGTTGCACTGGATGGTACAATTTTTACATTATTTACATTTTTAACAAAGCAAATACATTACATCAGTGGTTCATAATTAGATGTATAATTCTTTGATTTTCTAATGCCTGTTCAAAAAAAAAAAAAAAAAAAGAAAGAAAGAAAGAAAAGAAGAAGAAGAAACATAATTATTTAATAATGCAACCATTAGTCGACGGGAATACCTGTGCATGTAAACTCTAATGATGACCCAGGGGTTAAAAAAAATTTTGATTCATTGGAACCTAAGGTATTCTTGTATACCTTTTGAACAATTTTACTCAATAAATTACAAAGATTTTAAATGTCAAAATTATGTAACTTTCAGTAGCAATACATTTTTTTGTGTGTTAACAGTATATTCAGAAGTATGAGTTATATGGCTGACCAAAAAATTTATCCTTTTATAAATATTAGAATCATAAAAAAGGATTGATTTCCAAAGCTAAGATTTTCTGTCAATTAAATCATGGACTTCTCAACCCTGCCACCCTGAGAAGCCTCAAAGCCAACACTTCTGGTTGGGTCTAATTCCCTGTAAATGTCACTTTCCTGACTTCTCTAAAGTGACATGTTTACAAGATGAATAGTTTTTTGTTTTTTTTAAACCAGACTCAATGCAGGTTTGAACTCAAAAGGACAAAAGGATGTCAAATTTTAAAATAAAAAATGACAGCCGAAAAAAAGCACACCTGTTCTGCCTTCAGAGTAAGTTCTATGAAAATCTGCTGCAGCTTCTCATTGACATAGTTGATGCAGAACTGTTCAAAACCGTTTTTGGCAAAAATCTCAAAGCCATAGATGTCTAAAATGCCGACGTTCACCACTTCATAGTTCTTCTGCATGGCTTTGTTTATAGACTGAAACAGCAGAGATAAAGCTAAAACATTAAACACAACGTTTAAAATTGAGTACAATAAATAAGCAAATTTAATCAATATAGAAAATAGTTATGTTTGCCTGCTGGTTAATCTGAACAAAGGAGAAGCAAAGACCAGGTTGCACATTGTTTAATGTGTTTTTGTTTTTTTAATTTAGAAATATAAATTGTGACAGAAAATGAGCAGATGTAACTTTACACAGGTATCTTGTAGGATATCTATTCAAGTAACAGATTCTTTTTCTGATTCTTTCTTTTGCGTTCAAACAAAGAAGTAAATGCACTGTGTCCATTTACAGCATGACTTCAGTATTTAAACCTTTCAGCCATGACTTCTCCAGGCATTCACTGTCCAGTCTGCCTTCTAGATAAGTAACATTCACAAAAACTGAACATTCATAACAGTATGAGATAAGCTGAGCTGTTTTGGCCCAGCACCGCATCAGGTATGATGTTAATTCCATATTTTTATAGATAAATCAGCATTCAATGGATGATGTTGTCAGAATCATGCCTGCTGTCTTGAACTTCCCAGCTATTTCTAGGTACATTTATTAATTTATTTTTGGAAACCAGCCAGTGTGGATTAAATCCAAGACCCTTGGGCAGGCAGTAGAGCATCTTGCCACCACAAACATTTACGATGTCCCACTTATAAGTATGGGGGAGGTGAGGTTATAAAGTGGTTAAGAACTTACCTGCAGGCCTAGTGTTTATGTGTTCAAATCCATATCCAGGCAAGGAATTTTCATGTGGCATGATTTCCTAAATTGATCTAATCTAAAATGGGCCTCATAAATGTCCCAGAAAGTAAAGCCCTACCTGAATAATAGACCAATCACCCACTGAGAGTTGAAGACCAGTCATCCACTGAGAGTTGACTGGTATATACAAATTCACATCTTTAAGTAAAAGTAACTCTTAAACACATTTATGAAATGCTGAACAATCCGTGAACAAATTAACATGAACAGAAAAATATACACAAGTGCCCATTAAAACATTTACTGTTGAAACAAACAACAGTAGCGATGACTCCCTAGTGCAGGTTTGTGTACTGGTTCAAAATGCTGGTTTATACAGGAAAGGATAAGGAAGAATGTTATTTAAATTCTGAACAGAATGTTTACATCAAGACAATTTTAATAAATAAGGAACCGAATAAAACAACATTTAAAAAAAATAAGAACATATTATGAAATTAACTCCTGTCTTAGGAGGTTAGAAAAAGAATATTTGCATGCTTTATAAAGCCAGTTTTCACATATGACTGTGAATACTGGACAATGAGTAAAAAAAGCCAAACAATTTACTGACATCACAGAGACCAAGTTTTGCAGAGGAATGCTAAAAATTCTTTGAACAGTCCAAGTGAGTAAACCATATTTTTTTTTAAAAACAGGTGAGGGCCCAAAGACAACTTATCACAAATATTAGAAATTTCTAATGGTTGCAGAATATTTTAATATCAATCTGTACTGAATAAAACATATATGTAATTTATAAAAGGTATAAGTTAATATAAAACTCACCTCCACTAGATAATCAAAAACTCTAGAATACATAGCCTTGGCTAGAGCATCTCGTGTGAATTCTGCCTGTTCTACATTCAGTTTCATTTCTATACTTTCAGTTTTTCCTCCCCATTTGCTGTCCATGATGCGACCAGTTAGTTTGTCCCTCAGTATTTCAGGATTTACACCCAGCAAATAGGCAGGAAACTGAAGAACTGCAAGAAAATAATACGATCTCCTTTATAACTACTAACTTACTTCTGAATCCACAAAGGTGTTACTAACTATAATTATTTTGTACATTTCATTCTTCTTATGCTCTTATTCATTTCCCAGTGAAGCACATGCCTTGAACCAACATCTGTAGACTTGTTCATGATTGTTTGGATTTTGCAGCAGTTTTTTTTTTAGAATGAGATAGTCTCATTCATGCCAAACCTCCTTAGTTGCTTCTTATGGCATGTATGGTGGTTATAGTTTATTTTTCCCATGACATGATCCTGGTAACACACAGGGATTGTGATAATTTTGAGTCAGTTTCATTTCTTTAATTATCTACACAAATAAAAACCAAATGTGTCATCACCAAAAACAACTTTTATGATCTTAGACAGAACTGGTTATCTACATAAGATGAAAATACAATCAACATTCTTTGGGAATATGATGATATGGTATAAAATGGAGTAGCCATGACAAACAGAAAATTTGGATGGGAAAAGAGGCAGAGTGAGACCCAGAGAGAAGATGTTAGATAGTTTGGGATCATGACATGAAGAAATGTAAGAATGAGGGGGCTTCAAATGAAAACCTTAACAGTGTTATAGAAATTACAATAACCAGGCCATTGTCTTGTAACCCGACAACACTGTCATTAAAGATGTCAAGAGCGTTAAGCCCAACACATCAAGGTGAAGATGAACATGTTAATGTCATAATGACAGTTTAAAGATGGCCAACCCTTTATTATGCAGTAAAATGGAGCCACATACTCTTTTTTTTAGTCTTTTTTTTAAAGTCAGTGAAGGGAATGAAACCTAAAGTGTTTCGCTGAAGGAAGGAAAGTCGAGTATGGTGACACATGCCTGTCAGTGCAGCAAGTGTATAAGTGGAGTAAGAAGCTTCAAAATGGCATGACTTTTGTGACAGGCTGGTCACTCAGGGTGCCTGGCCCAGTTGGGAACAGTCTGTCACAACAGCCCCCTGATATCAAACATGATAAGCAGCATACAGGATGGAAGAAGTGCACAGCAAAGATATGTTCAAGACTTAATGGCACAGACTTAGGAAGAATCTAAGATAAATGGCAGGTCATTTGATGTTTTAAATAAGCTATGAACATCATTTCTGAAAGCTATTAAATTCAATATATGCTTCTTCTTTTGCATTGTAGGGGTAATTTAAGGCTATGTGTATTTATGCTTGTACAGGCAGCAGTATTTGAACAAAAAAATCATTAATAAAAATTAGGCCTACAGGAATTGTACAAACTCATTAATAAAAAGCACAATTCTTTAGTCACCCACCTTTTCTCTTGCACTCTTACTAATATTCCAGAAGGTAGCTTGCCCTTAAGCATGGATTTACAATTAAAAATGATGTACAGTGGGCGTTTGTGTCCATCAGCAGTGATACCTAGAATTATGGTACTCCGGTGTTTTACTGCTTCAGAAGTTCCCACGTGCACTGTTTTTTCACCAGCTTTGTTCGCAGTAGTTTCACCTGGCATACTGGAGAATAAAGGAGTTTCACCTGCATTCCTAATTGCCTCCATGCTGTAGTTGTGTGTCTTCTGTAAGTAACTTCAGAAGATCTTTGAAGTGCAAACAGTTTCTCCTGGTAGGTGTCAGAAAAGTGTTGTGTCATCACTGTTGTGCGTTGCCAAATCAGAAGGTCATTATGTGCCATAAAGCACTTTACCCAGCCATAACTGGTTTCAATTTTATTCTGAGGAATTCCTGTCTTTCACTGATTACAGATATGTATTAATGTTTCTGTTCTGGTCTCTTCTTAGAAAATTATTGCGCCCAAAAATTATTGTGTCAGAAATTGGGTGTGGCCTATAAAAGTGTAAATATGGTATGCACTTTTGAGCAGAAATGTCTGATTTAAGCAAACTTTTAATTAGTTGCCTTTTACAACATGTTTGTTAAGGGTGGTGGGTCTAACCCTCACCCCAAATGGGACACAGCAACCCACAAATGTGTTTCAGTTATCACCACTGTCCTACTTACAATCATCATCGGCAATGACAGCATAGTTGCCTGACTCTTTGAAGGAGATGTTGCCCAGGTGTAGAATCCCAGCCACAATGGAAATGATGTCATTCTGCCTGTCTGGGCTGATCCCAATCACCTGCATAGCTTGCTGTAGACATAAACATAACTATATATCACCTGTGCAGTGCTGTGGCATAGATTTTTGTGAATGTTTTTAACAATTTCATGTTCCTCAAGTACTAGGGTTCGATTTCCACAGCGGATATTTTTTTTCAAACTGCCCGAATGGTTTTTGGATGGCGGTACAAGAATTACATCATGGAAGAGACTGGATCTTACCACATAATATTCCAAAAAGACAACAGTGGTGCTCTGTAGCCAAACTTCATTGCAGAAACACATTTTAAAAAAAATATTATATATATGTTAACTAACCAAAATAAATTTTTTTTTAAACTGCTTTTTTCTTTTTGTGATCATTTGCTAACTGTCTATTCTGTGTGACAAATTGGATAGTGCACCAGAGGTATTCAACTGCCATTACTGCATGTATTTACTTCTTGTGCAATGTAGGTTGCGGGTGGGGGGGATTTTGAGCCTGGGAATTAAGGGCCCCGTGGCTAGTGCTGTCACCACAGACTGTGCATGTTAGCTCCCCCCCCCCCCCACAACACAGAAAATTATCCTAGCTTTACCAAGGATTCGAACTAGGGTCTCCTGTGTGACAGCACAGACTTCTCACCCATGTAGCGAGCCGAGGACTTATCAGCAGTGCCCCATAATTAATCTTTGTTGGTTACTCGGGTCCTGATGGTTCCAGACTTGTTTTAAAATATGACCTTGGCTCCTAGGTCGACCCAGCCTTGAATGGGTAACAGGTAGAGTCCTGGGAAGTAAAAGCTGCCAGTGTGATGCTGACTATATCACCCACCAAATGCTGATTGGTCTATAAAATATAAGTCTAGCCCTATATGCCTGAAAGCGTGGAAAAGAGTCCCTGTCAGCAAGCCTGTCCACTCGCTCATTCCCTCTTCACATCAGAACTGCAAGAACCAGGATTTGTGGGAAGGAATTAACACTGACGCACCCTAGCACAGCATATGATGATGAACATGATATTTACAGCACTTACCAATGTGTCTTGGAACTCCTTGGCATCATCAACACCTTCAACACTATATGTTCCACTTTGAAGCAGGTAGTAATAATAGTCCGGGGTAGAAATTCCTAAACTATCTGTAGACGAA